TAGAATGATCGGTTGGGTTTTATTTGTACGACACATGACTCGTGCAGTTAGGTCTCAATTCTTTGTGGCGATTACATTGTAGTTGAAGTTCAACTACAATTAATCGCCACAAAGTTGAATTTCACCAAAAAAAAATTGTAACTTCACCAAATTTTTAATTGAATTTCAACGAGAAAGCGACAATGCGTACTGTCGTCGTGCTATTTTTGATAATGGTAACATTACTCGTAATTATAACGGTCGTCCTACCGGACCAATTCGAGTTGGATGGCAGTCTATCGAGACAGCTCAGAGTAAGACTTTTTTCGTGGAAATTTTCTTGTTATTATTTATGTTCAACACGTGAATTACTTTTTACTTTATTATCAAGAGACAGATTTTATTCATGTAACAAGCACTGTTTGTAATAGTAATAAGAATAATGGGAACAGAAATAGAACTCATGATTAAAGTAATATATAGCGAAATAAGTCAGGTGGTAATATGTGACATAGATTAGAATTTATCGAAATTAGGTGGTGTTGGAGTTTCAGAAGGGTCTATCTCACAGATATGAGTGAAAGCTTTTCTGAAAATATGATATAATCCCTGCGCTCCTTTGCCATAAATAAACGAAATTTCAAGTTTTTGTTACGTCTGAGAAAGAGACCAAATCGAAAAAAAAACTGAAAATTCGAAAAATTCAGCGTAAAAACAAAGTATAGGATCATGGTCATCTGAAGAAAGCAGATCGAAGAAGATGTAAATCCTCTTTACTCATTAAGAAGCTCTTCAGAAAGTCCACATTTTCGAATCAACTCGAGGACGAGTCTTGCTGCTTTTTACACCCATAACAATCGGTGTTACTGATCGGAAACTGTATCGCTGAAATCATTGTCTGGTCTAAAAATTTCACATCTTTAATGAGAATTTTTTAGAAATGTAACAAGAAAGATGAACGAACGTTCCAGTTGAACGTTCGAACTAAAATTCAGTAAACTGAATTGAATTAAACAGTGAGGGGATTTTAGAGTGGAGAGAGTCGTGCGACGTATGATCCGCACTACTATGGTCATCATGGTCTGTGACATCATGGACACCATCATTACTATTATCCTGGCTAGCATTACGATTACCACCATCATGGTCATAATGAATGTAGACATTCGTGGATGAGCAGAGAGAGCGCCAGATGTCACGAATTCGGATGTTGCGATGTTGGTTGACGGTTAATCTGGAAAAAAACGCGACCCGATGCATCTCCATGTAATTATTCTCTGTCTACTCCATTAAGATTGGCCAATTCACTATTTATTACGTATGCACATTATTTTCAATCCGATCATAAGATTGCTCCATATTTGATCTTGGTTCTACTGCATTTGTTACTGCAGTTCTAAATTTCACATCGTCTTTGTACATATTCTCTTCTGATAGTTGTTGTACAGTTATTTTAATTGCGTTATCAATAAATTATAGTATATGACATTACGATTGCATTCAAAACAGTGTGCATGTTCAGAAGTAGGTACTAGGTTTAAAATGGCAGGCAGCCGAATTTGGCACGAGGGCTTCACAACTGAGATCTCCTCAATCTTCTTCTATGCATATCGTTCTTTTGGTTTCGTGTGATAAGCAGTTACATAGAAGTGAATGAAGAGCACAGCAAATGATGTGTATTCAATTAATCCCATCTGAAAGAATCGTGGATGAAATGTCGCTGGGTGAATGTTAAATGCACAGATCACATATTCAAGATAGTTTCTACGAGTCAATTCCGATGCCTTCAATGACTTTTATCTGCACTAATTTATCGAAATATGGATTTTTCGAAATTCTACGAAAAACATCTCAAAACATTTCCTTACAATTAGTATTCAAAATTTGGGCAACTTTTCTGACCAAGAAATCGGTCAGCAGAAAATAAGCATGTATTTACTGCACATTCAAAAATCGCAAGATTTCAACGCATTCAACAGTACGACTGAATTTGGATTTTGTTTTGAGAAAACAAATTAGTTGTTTGATCGTACGTAGTTTGACTGACGTGTGCTCCCACTGGCTTTCCCTTTAGCACTGAAGAGAACTATGCAAGTTTCTCTTTGTACCGAAGAGAGCTATGCAAGTTTCTCTTTAGCAATGAAGAGAACTATGCACGTTTTTCTTTAGCAATGAGAAGAGCTATGCAAGTTTCTCTTCAGCATTGAACAGAACTATGCAAGTTTCTCTTCAGCGTTGAACAGAACTATGCAAGTTTCTCTTCAGCGTTGAACAGAACTATGCAAGTTTCTCTTCAGCACTGGAGAAGAATTATGCAAGTTTCCGTTCAGTCATTATGCTAACACGATTACTTGTTGTTGCAGTTCTGAATATGTTATCTTTGCACATATCTTCCGATAGTTGTTTTACAATCACTTTTATTTAGTTATCAATAAATTATAAATATTACGTTACAATTATACGTAAAACAATGTGCATGATGAGAAGCAGGCACAGGTTTTGAAGTGGCAGGCAGTCGAATTTGGCACGAGGATCTCATGATCAGAGGAGGAGGATCCCATGAATATTATGCTCGGCGATGCTATAGGTATTGTTGACCAACATTGAGTGACATACCTTCAGGAAATTAGGAAAAGCCGAATAATGGAGCATAATTGTTCGGCAGCAAATAACATTTTTAAAGAGCTGAGATCCTCTTTTTTCTAAAGGCATCAAAAAATTGTAAGTAAACGGGCAAAACTGAAGAGCAGGGTTCCCTGAATATTGTGCTACATATGTAGTGGATAGTGGTGATTAAAATTTGAGAGGATATCTGATTGACAGGACAGGATCAGTTGGCAAGAATATCTTTAGAAAGTCGTAGTCCACTCCTGCCTGATGGTACTAAAAATGTTCGTTTTAAGCGTTCAAGATTCTATTGATAAACCCAGTTAAATAAGATCCCAGTATTAGCGTAATGTAAGCAGTGCATTTCTTGCATCTCAACAATTGTTTCGTGGTGTGGCAACTCATTGTGCATATGCCTTTTCTATTACAAAGCCGAATGGAACGAAAATGTGAAGTGATGAAATGAATAGAGTGAAGATTCAGAAGATAATTATGAATGCGAGTGATTCAGTGATACATTCGAATTGAATAAGAAAAGTACTAATGCATAACAGGACTGCAATGGAATCAGCAAGGTTGGGAATGAGAGTGATGAGACATCACAGGAATTGAACATAAAAACTGGTGATGGAATCACAATAATAAATAGAGAACAGAGGTATGGATTCTGTTGGAAGTAGCTATTCAGGAGGCGTGCACACTTTTCATACTCCCATGTACAGTTTTCCTTCAACAGTTTATCAATGAATCCTATGTCTAGTTTCCATACTCTTTTATCACTCTCATTTCTAAAGTCACTCGCTGCACTACACATCAGTTATGTCGTGGCAATTTTCTTATTCATTGCAATCATATCACTGATTTACTCTCATTCATAACTTTTCGAGAATAGGTGATATTTTCACTTCTCATCACTGCACTTTCAGTTCATTACGGTTTTCAGTGCAAATGAATCGCATTGAGTGATTTGGCGAAACTGGTTATAACAATTTGATGAGGATCACACTTTGATGACAAATTTTCATCTTTGCGCATTTTCAGGAATATTTTATAATTTAACTGAAATTTTCGATAACTTTCGTCTCACTGTGATTACTTCGAAAAAGTTCGTCAAATTTCGGTCGAGATTCCGACAAAACAATTTGGAAGGTCAGTAGGAATTCTAGGTGTTGGAATGATGAAATGTCGGCAAACTCATTATATTTCAGATCGGCTTATAGTCTTCCCATAATAAACATCTTATTGTAAAGGATGTCGTTTTGGCGAGCCGCCGGTCTATCTTATATACGTTATTCACAAATTGCTGCTGCGACCACTCGAAAATGTGTGAAGGTATGAATTGATTCTGATTTTTCATACGGTCATCATTAATTCAGTTTGTATTCACTTAATTTCGATCGTTGATTCAATGGCTACTGGTTGAGTGGCGTTGATGAATCATGTAAAAACTTTATTTAATACTGCGTTTTATTTTAGGGTCAAGTAGGTGAAAGACCTGCTTCAATATTTCGTATAACGAAGTGGGAAAATGGGAAAGCAGTAGGTGCGAAGAAGACTCGATGAGATGAGAACGGAAGAATCTCTCTTTGATATGGTTGATATGTTAGGAAACAAAATGAATATTATGCGTCACTCCATGATATTATGATTTCATCCGATACTTATCCCATGTCACACCTCTTAGTAATGATCTGATGATTGAATTTAGAACTGTTGAAATATCCATTTGTTTTGTCAATTTTTCAGTAACTTTTTTGTATTTTGACTTCATACGTCGTATTCATTTCATCAATTGGCAATATGCAATAAGTATGGTTTTCCAGTTGAATCATAAATGTAGTTAGTAAAAGTGTTTGGAAGCTTGTTTTAAATATGTTTGTGAAAAATAAATTCCTTAGCTATTGAAGCGAATGCATTTGAATTATCAACAATATCGTTCATGAAAAGCGATGTAACTGAAGGCTACCGATACTTTCGATCCAACAAGATTAATTTTTTTAACGTATTCAACCGATAGAATCGGATGGAATTATTGTATTTCATAATAAGGTGATGATGAGCGAAATTATCCGCAAAATGCAAATAAACTGCAAGAGTTGATAATGACAAGTTAATGGTATCAATGAATCTGTTCATTTTGGCTCATTCACGACTTGCGCACATTTATGTAGAGAAGTGATTTGTATTGAATTCAAAATGAATTTAGAAATAATTGATCGTTTGTAAAGTAACCATGAGAAGAGATAAAGAAGTGGATGACGACGATTCAACGAAATTATCGTTTCTTAATCAGCAAAATAAATGGAATACTCGTGAAGATGGTATGAATGATATCTCACAATCAGTCAATATGTTTTGAATGTCGAATATTCCCAGTGAAACTCACTAACTTTATTCATTTCTATTAAGTGTAAATGAGGTTGGACACTGTTGAACAACAGCAACAAAAATACATTAACGTAGGTGGATTATTAATCGATAGAATGATTGAAATCTATTCGTAAAACATTCTTTTTTAGCTAAAATGAAGGGTGAAATGGCTTATATACTTGTTGAATGTGTTGTTCAATCAAAAGATATCTGTTACCTTTTCAGTTGGACCTGTTGTAAGTGCAATTCAATCGAAAGCTTACATCGAAACTGTCGAGCTGAAAGGTAACTCATTGGGGGTTGCGGCTGGCGAATGTATCGCTGAAGCGCTGCAGTCTCATGCCGAACTTAAAGTACGTTTTGATGTTGCCATCGCTCTCGTAGTCCACCATAATTGTGTTGATAAATCACTGTTCACAATGCCAGTTTCGTAACATTTTCATTTTCAGCAAGCTTTGTGGAGTGATCTCTTCACGGGCCGACTTAAAACTGAAATTCCGCCGATTCTGGTAATTAGTTCTTCGTTTTTCCCACTTCTTAACGTTAAGTGTTTTTTAGTTGCCGATTTCATTGGTTTTCTGAAGATTTGAATTAATCATAATATTCTCGTATTTCGTGATTGGATGATGATCATTGATTTGATTCATTTGGGAGATTAACTTTTAAATTTTATGAGTTCATTTAATGGATTTATGAATCAAGATATTATTTGTTATGTTATTGAATCAAGACATTTATGTTATGTGTGGAATATTATTTAACTCGAAAATCGTTTAATTCAATTTTTCAATGAAACGTTTGGTGTGATATAATTTGATCGTGTTGATTGTTTGGTTTGATTCGTGGTGACGTTCTCTTAGTAATGATATCGAACAGTTGTTTGAATGTTGATTGAGATAAGAATAATACTAATAACAGAAATCGTTGTGTGATGCGATGATATCGAGTGGAGTGAGACTGGTAGAGTTGGATTTGTGCGATAATGCATTCGGACCGATCGGGGCCGAGGGCATCGAAAACTTTTTGGAATCGCCATCAGCATACTCACTTCAGACTCTTAAACTTAACAACAATGGCCTTGGAGCTGGTGGAAAAGTATGTTTATTCTTTTACTAGTTCAATGAGTGAGTATCTATTAGAAGGTAGTAGTTTGCATACATCCATAAAATAGCATTGTTATTTGAACTAAACACTTTTTTTTTCAGTATTCAATCTGTGTCATTTATTAGTCTGTCAAGGATGCGTCCATCTGTTAGACCTATGCTAATGTTCATATAATATTTTCATGAGCTGTGTTTCAGATAATCGCCAAATCACTGAAACAGTGTTGGTTGAATGCGAAACAAGATGGTTGTGAATTCGCTTTAAAAACCTTCATTGCTGGTAGAAATCGTCTCGAAAATCCAGGAGCCACTGCACTAGCTGATGCTTTCAAGGTACGTAATGTATTAGTTGTATGATCACTCTTTATCTCCTTTCAGTATTGGAGTTGTGTATGAACGTATATATGTGATTGTATACGAATATATCTAACAAACTCATGAAATTCGATCGTATATTTAGAATTGAATGGCTGATAATTCAGTGGGAATAAGAGCAAGACTAGTATATTTGTATTGAACAAGTTTATGAGATGAAAGTGTTAGTATGATATAATTTGTGTTGTGAAAGTAGATATGTTGTAGACAATTGGTACACTGGAACATATATCGATGCCTCAAAACGGGATAAAGTCGGGAGGAATCGAAGCGTTAGCCGCATCCCTCGAAAATAATCGCAACATAAAAGTGATCGACCTCAATGACAATACGTTCAATGTCAGTGGAGCGCGTGCAATGGCCAAGGTTTGACTGATTTTTGGGCAATGATGAATTAATCTTGAAGTTGAATTTTCTTAATGATGTTTGCAGGTGATACCGAATTTACGACAAATACAAGTGATAAACTTCGGGGATTGCTTGTGTCGGAATGATGGTGCTATCGCGATTGTATCCAGTCTTAACAGCTCGATTCATCTGCATTTGGAGGTGATTTGAGTTGTCGTATTCGTGGACATTTATTTGGTTTTGTTTGTTGTTTGACTGGAATGTATTCGAATCAAAGAGGAATTCGTTTAGGAAGTGAACTTGAGTGGTAATGAACTGAATGCTGACATTGCTGAGAAGATTATTCGCGTGTTTGATAAAGCTGCCTTCCGATTGAAATCACTCTCGTTACACACCAATAATTTGGGACATCGTTTCGATGAACTCAAACAGTATTTTCATAATGTGGATCTGGGAGAAGAAAGGTATCGTTTTTCAGAAATATCATTTATTGTTATTATTGATGTTAATTGCTCACAGATTCAGTCGATTATTTCTAGAGTGTAATGTGTTTATATGCATATCTATGTAATAATTCTTTGTTAAGACGGATTATTTGGTAGTGAAATGATAATAATATTACGTTATCAAAAGAGTTAATTAAAATTCAGTGACGATCAAGGTTCGTTGGAAGATGAAGAAGATTATAGCGAATCAGAAGGGGATGAGGAAGAGAGTGATGTGGAGGTGGTTGATAAAGAAGTGGAGTTGACTGGTACGGCTGCAGTAAGAACGCAACCTGAGAATGCAATTAGTTGTTCGATTAGTGAGGTGATTGTGATCGATTATTCGAGTTTGCATCGATTCATTCATTTAATTCGAAATTTTTGTGTAACAAATTAGCAATCAAATGGCTAAGTCGTTTATGATTAAGACTTATCTGAGCATACAACACTGCAATATATTCTTGCATCGCTTTCTTTAACTGTTCAGCTATAGTTTCGTATACAATTTCGGACCCTGACTTGAGAGGCGTCAATTTAAATTTATTTTAATTATTGCTCAGCCGATAGAGATAGATATAATGATTGTTCATTAAAGCTTGATCTTGTTTTATTTATTGTTATGTTATTTTGTAAATAGCAGTGATTTTTTTTGTCAAAGTAAAGGTCAGCGATATTTATCGATTCAGAAATAAGTAATTTTCAAAGGAATTAAAGGCAGTTATGATTTCAGCATGACTTGACTGCGTTCGAATTACAACCGTCAATAACATTACTGAATTTTTTCGTGTCACGGTCCGATATGCTCATTGATATTCTTCGGGTATTTTGTCTATTTTCAATTAATTGTCGAATCGTTTGTTTATTAAGCAAGCAATTGTTGTTATCTGGTGTGTAGTTAGGTGTATATCTCATCGGATTTGATTGTAGTGAAAGTGGTAAGTTTTGCAGAATGATTTGGAAGGACGAAGTCAAGATGAGGCGGCATCGTTCTTGAACTCATTGGCAGTGTTAATCGGAGAAAATATGAAGAATAATGAATTGATCAACAAAATTACTTCATTAGCTGGTACTGCTGCATATTGATTTGAGTTAAAATGTGACTGCTGATATGAAAAGATTTAAATTGATTTTATATTGAGTTTATAAAAGATGTACATTCACCATTTGAAATGGTTATTGTGAAAATTATGATGTTACTGAATGAATGAATTAAGATGCCATCCTGAGGGTAGCTGAACGCACAAAACGTTACCCACTCTCAGCCACTCAACAAATTTGCAATCTTTTGCTGGCGTATGCAGGTGCAGTTCAGGTGTGTTTATAATGATTAATGTTTTGAAGTGTTATTAATATTAAAATTCATGTGATTATGAGATGTACAATAAGATATATTGATGCTGTTGTTTTCTTGAAGATGAAAGCATTGAAAGTTAATGCTTTTGTTTGTTCGTCTACTTATGTTATTTTTATTTGCAAATCAATATTATTGCAGTGTGAACGTGTTGAATCAGCACCGAAATCGAATCTTCAAGGATTGATCTGTCTATTTGCGGCTTTGATTAAAAAAGGTCATTTCGTTGAGATGTTACCCACAATAAAGTTCTACTTGTAAGTTTCATTATGTGATATTCAACGGTGAATCGATTCGATTCACATGGTTTCTTATATTTTTAATCATAAACATATTGAAATATCGCATAATGTCATGCGATCAGCTCATTTTTAGAAAATAACGAGCGAATTAAGTGTACTGAGGAATATTAGACGAGTTATAGGTAGGTTTATTTACGTGAGGTACGAGTTTGGAGTGGTGGATGGTTAGGTGGGATGGCATGGGATGATTAGTGTTCATCTGAAATGATAATCGTTGCAGCAGTGGCTCAATCAGAGCAAAGAATCCTTCGTACGGTCTGACGATCGATCGCTTCGTCGCTTCAATCTGATGGTTTGTGTGTGTAACTTCGGGTGATCGGTGCCTCTCAGGGAACTGTAAACGCAAATTTCTGATGTGGCGACATTTGCTCATCGATGGAATATGAGACAGAAATTCAGTGGCAGCGTTCAAGTGTCACATCATATCCAAACTAGATAACACTTCACTTTCACTTTATGAACCCTGAAATGGATTATTCATATCAGTATTTTGGCTATTTTCTGCGTTTGTTATCTGCGCTTTTTTAACGTATCAATGCTTATTGGCTTGTAACTGATGAAATTGTTTCACTACTTGAATCTTTATGATACTCATCTACAATGCGTTTCAAACTCACAATGCGTTTATTGATAGATAAAATGAGTGCATTAAGTAATTGGTTTTGCTTTTTTTTGAATAGCAATTAAATTTTACAGTTTCATGACAAGTACTTTCCGTGGTATTGATGACTTGTTTGAGAATTGATCTGATTGGTTGATTGTTTAATTAACAATTCGAACTGGTTCATTCTTTTAAACTTAACGGGCTTGTTTATGTTGTATTACGATTTTAATTGCTTCATTCGGCTCTTGCACTTATCCGTAAATTGGCTTTATTTTGTTAGTTTGTTCTTTGTTAGTATTTGTTGTTATTCTTTCGAATACTTTGTTAGTATTCGCGGAGGTGTTCTTATTTCAAGTTTTCAGTACAGAATGTATTTTGGTTTCAAGTACGTTTTTTATGTTGAGATAAAGATGACGATGAGTTTTTTTGGATACGTTTGTCAATTTGATTTATCGGCGCTTCTTTATTTATGCATTGTTGTTATAAATGGTAATTGTTGTGTTCAGTTGAGTTGCTCGATAAAGAGTGCGATGCTCGAATATGAATGTGAATCTGATCAGTTACCTATCTGATCTAGTTACGTATCTGTCATGGTATGATTGTTGTTGTTGTTGAGTAGAGTGAATTAAGTAATTGCTCAGAAATGTTCTCTTTGCGTGTTCACGCAAGCAGATGCAATACACTTGTGGAATGCGTTACGATGACGGCTTTGATTCAACCGCCGCCACTGCGAGTAACACAAAATGCTTATGTGCATCATCACAAAGAACGACACAATCTGGAACGATTCATCGGCATCCGGCGATCAAATCCTGCACGTGCTAATCGTAACACTCATATCAATGAACGTATGTTCCGAAAGGTCGGTTCAGTTCGTGAATCTTATTCTAGATGTTTATGTTATGCGAATATAGATTCCGATCAACAGGTACTATTAAGCTATTCAAATGAATCGCCTCTTTACGGCGTATCCTTACTTCAATTCCCTTTTCTATGTAGCCAGTGATATTCACCGAATTAAGAGCCATTTGCACGTTACTTTGTAGTCAACTTTAGTAGGCTCAGAGGTTACGATTTGAGGAATATGTTATTCTGGTTGATTGTATGTTATGATGAAATGGAATGCTGCAGTTACGAGGTGCGAAGACGGTATTGATCGATCTTCCTGATGATGTAGAGAGACGTCAGCGAGAAAAGATGAATCCATCGGAAATGCGCATTTCGATGCTGAAAGCGGGAATGAATCCCTACAAAGAGGTTCAGCCACGTTCATGGAACGAAACCCAAATGACAATGCAGTCGTTTTGTAAGTATGCACTTTGTAAGCGTTGTTGTATATATTCGTGAAGAAATCGCTCAGAACCTAGCCACCTTCAGCGAGTATCCATAATCTTTAGTAATTAGTAATATGCCATCAACTGAATCCTACTCGTTTCAACTGAATAAAATGTCCAACATTTCAATGTAATATGTCTTTAACTGAATAAAATGTACGACATTTTATTCATTTGATGAGATTGTAAGTAAGCTGATTGACCGATTTTTATAGCAGCAGAGAATAAGTGTTCAACATCTATTTAACTGACTATTTTGAGATAGCATTTGATTATAGAAGATGGAGTAATGACAACTTTGTTCTGTTTACAGATGGTGTTGTTGATCCGTATGTATCACCAGAAGATCCATTGCCTTTCGTTGTTCCATCGTCGGTCAGTGATTCAGTTAAATTGAAAGGCCAAGAAATCAAGGAACGTGCTCTTCACATGTTTGTTTTGTTTGCCACTTTGTCTTGTTCTTTAATTTTGCGCTTTCCGTGAACGAAGTATTCGATTGTCACATGGATGTCTTTTGAATGCTGGTAAGCATCATATCGGTTTGAATGTTGAGAGCCATCCAAAAAGTTTTCTTTTTCACAGAAAAGATGTTCGATTGATAGCCAACAACAAAATCTTTCTTCATTTCCTCGCTCTAACCAGTAGTATGTATTTGTCAAAAGTTAACTGGTTGACATTATTGGATTGCATTGAGAGGTGACTAAAAGAATTGTTGAGTGTTGATATTCAGGTGGCATAATTATAAGAATGGATCGCGTCGAATCAGAAAGAAAGAAGGTTTTGAAAATTTTGATTATAAGGTGAGTAGGGTATTTCGATTCGTTTGAAGTGCTTTTTGTATGCGAAGACATTATTGATACAGTCGTTGATATTAATCATTATTGAATGGAATCAATAATCAGTTCACTCATCGAAGAAAATGAGATGAATAAATGGTTGATTTTGTAGTTATTTGGGCCAACGGCAGATTCCATATATGTTGAGGCACATAAAGCGCTGATGAATCGCGATAAGTCCACGCTGCATAAATATATCACTGAACATGCTTTCGTTGTGAGTTTGTTACATATTCATTTATGCACATTGTTCATCAATTCGTATTCTATTGGTTTGATCACAGCCATTGTACTGCTCTATTTATCATGAGTTGAATTGGTGGTAGTCAGTTAGTTGAACCTTAACATTTAATTGGTTAAGTAAAAAAATAAATTGTGAAATTATCAGAAAATGTGGCCAGATGTCGAAAATGGTTCAGTTGTTTGGGAAATGGTTGAGAGATTGGAGCCGTCGAAAGTTGTGGCGATTAGATGTGCGGATAATCCGTATAAATCTGGTAACGATATCGCGCAGTTGATCGTTCGAATGCATTCTTTGCAGGTTTTGTCGCCATTATTATATTACGTTCGGTGTTTTTGATAGAGGTTTATTGCGATTCGATTCTTTGGTTAATTGCCGTAGATGAGCATTCATTTGTGCGCAAATAACATAGTAATTCACATCTCTAAAGGTGAACATTTGAATACGTTGCGATGATTCTTAATGAAAAATTGTCTTCAGAAATTGGCCATCTACGATAGATTCGGTCATCTGTTAGTCGGATCGGAAGCAGAGCCGAAAAAAGTCGTGGAATATGTTGTGTTCGAGAATCATATAGCCAGTTTGGATGGTGCTTGGCGTTTACATGATAAAGTGTACCCTCGTTGGATCGAACCCAAGCAACCTGCTAGGTTTATTTTATACATTTTTATGAAGTTTTGAATTGAAAATGAAAGCAGTTGTTTCTTCGATGGAATGCGTGTATTTTGTTGTGTGATACTTAAATTGTGATCGAATTATGGTTTCAATACTCTCTGTCGTTGAGTAAAAATGAATAAGATCAGCGTGCGGTGGGATGCGCAGTGGAAGTTTAATATAATATTTATTACTCAATACTCAATGATCACTTAATAATTATAATGATTGGCCACCCGGCATATAGTCTTGACACAATATTAGGTCGACAATAACTGACAGTGATAATCAATTACAATATTTCTCAATGATAATCAATCACAATAATAATCAGTTTCTTCTTTGAACATATGGACGAGACTTCTGCGAGGCACTGTAGATTAGACTGATGACCCCGTTCCTTCGTTCCCTGGTCCTTAAGTAGTTGCATCGCCC